TAAATTTCTTATTTTAATTGTACATATAAAATACATACATATATAAAATATATATAATAGAAAATCTGAAAACTTCATGTAAAGATACATAAATACCCATATTACTATTTCCAAAATTTGTTTTATTAAATTTTCTTGTAGCCCTTTTCTATCTGGTTAAAACAAAGTTTTGTATGAGAATTAAGAGCTAGGTGCTACGCTTACCTTCAGTTGTATATCTGGTTCTTTTCTGTGCAATTTTAGCCTCTGGTTTTTCAGCAATGAGCTTTGAAGTCAAGAATTCAGCTGCTCCTGCATCGAAGAAAGTATTCCCTATAGCTTTATCTTTAATGGCCCAAATCACTTCACAGCCTTCAATTTCATACCTAAAAACAATATTGAAGTTACTAAGAGTAATTTCAAAAGTCTAAGTAAAAAATCTTTGCATTTGCAAATAATGATCTCCTGAAGCAAAAGCAGGGAACACATTTTTAAGACAAACTGGGAAAAACTGATTATAAAGAGGAATATTAACGTTCTTTAAAGATACTAAGAAAAATAGAATAGTAAAAGAAACTAAAGCTGTTTACAGAAAGAACCTTTAAGTGACAAATACATATACTGAATATGAATATGTATTAAGTGACAAATACATGTAATTTCATTACAATGTACATCATTAGAAAATGTTCAATTTCTACAACACACTTATTATATGAATGGCCCCCAGGGGTAAGCAGTGCTTTTTAAAAACTCTGGTTATAGTGTAATCAGTAATGGATGGATGGTACATAGCTATAATATTGAGAATCAGTCACTTATTTGGTAACGACTTTTTGTATCTTCAAAGCACATTGTGGAAGGAGATAGAAAATGGAGAGAATCAGAGTTATAAGCTAAAAATCTTAAGGATCAAGATCAAGGATCTTAGAGGAAGGAACGAATGGACATGGTATATGTAAGCCACCTTCTATTACTATTTACCACTAATGTAAGGTAATGGGCATGTGATATTTTATTGAAGGTTTAGATACTGAGAAGTGGTTTTCCTAACAATATTCGTTTCACAAAGTCCCTGAAGTCAATTATAATTAAGGTGATCATATAATTTATCATCTAACTTGGTATACTATCTGCTACTAATAATCATTTTTGGTACAAGTGGTGGAAGTGGAGACAATCCCAGTCAAACAAGATATATTGGCCATCCTAACTATAATAGGATTTTATCTAAACTTGCAATATTAATAAAATACTGTAATTAGAAAGTTAAGGTATTAATTTTTCACATTTCTTTACGGTACAAAGTATTGCCATCTTTATTTTGCAGACTGATATAACATAGTTAGGTTATACAACTTTTCAAAACTAATCAATAAACAGATTACAGAAAAAAGGTTTAGTACATCTGAATCCAGGTCACTTGATATTCACACTTTTCAACATATGGTGATAAGGGGCTCCTTGCTTCATCTAATAAGTCTTTACTTTTCCAGCTCTCCTATGTCAGTAAACATTTAGTCACCAAATTTCAGATTAGTGGGTGACATTCAATTTTATGTTACTCTGTCATATAGCATTACTGACCAGTGGAAAGTGGAATACACACACATTTGGTAAAAAAAGTTTGTATTTCAATTTACATACAGACATACAGTTATCATGTAATGCTTTCTTTTTGATAAACTGGGAATTTGTATTACCATTTTTAAATTTAAAGTAATATTACAATATAACACCTATCAGTGTAGTTTAACATACTGATGACTGACTAGCAGACGAAGTTATTACAAGCAACCACAAGAAACTTCAGTACTTGCTCTACCTCTGAAGACACCTTCTAATCCTCTTTTCCTAACTTGAACTATGCAAGATGCACAAGTTTGACAATTATCATCACACACAGAGGGGAAACATGCTTTCATTTTTAAAATGACTCTACAAAAACAGACAATGAGGTGTTGCAGTTTTGTGAAGTTATGAAAAACAGTATCTGTTTGAAAAGGAAAGGATTAACTTACCCTTAGAAACAAGAAAACAGATAATAACTGAAAAAAATGTATAATGAAGAACGTGAGTAGTACTTTCACTGAAACACAGTGTAGAAATGGTATGAGTATGCCAAGTTTCATGACAGACAAAGACCTAATCATTTAGCAGACCTAAAGTCAGAGAATAACATTATGTGGGTCCATTTTTATTTATCAAAGAAGAGCTTACTAAATACAAAATTATAAGTTTTATCCAATTATACTGTCTTCAATCTCCAACTTAAAGAAAATGATGAATCGGATTAAATGTTAAGACTCTGAACATTTCTGAACATAAAATTTTTAAATGTAAATAATGACAGTTACAATAATAGTGATACTTTGGTGATAGCTGATGGAGAAAACCTGTCATGTATATATTATACA